TGTAATCCCATCTGACTGGTCACAATCATTGATTGTCCCAATATACAAAAAGGGGTCAAAATCATCCTGCGATAACCATAGAGGGATTAGTCTGACTAACATAGCATCTAAAATACTAGCCTCAATAATTATCGGGCGCCTAACTAAGACTCGTGAACTGTAAACACGAGAAAATCAAGCTGGCTTCAGACCTGGTCGTGGCTGTATCAACCACATATTCACCATTCGTCAAGTTTTAGAGCACAGACACGCTTATCGGCGTCCGACAATGATAGTTTTTCTTGACTTGAAAGCAGCATTTGACTCTGTAGACCGAGAGGTTCTGTGGCAGTGTCTGTCATAGAAAGGTGTACCTGAGAAGTACATAAACCTCGTGAAGGCTCTTTACTCGAACACTACCAGTTGAGTTAGAGCTTATGACGAACTTTCATATGATTTTACAACCTCAAGTGGTGTCCGTCAAGGCTGTCCACTATCCCCATTTTTGTTTAACTTCATTATAGACCTGTTGCTGGAAATAACACTCTCTGCGACTGAATTTTCAGGAATTGATCTCCTACCAGGGGGACCACTAAGCGACTTAGAATACGCAGATGACATAGTCCTGTTTGGTGAAGACGCTGACAAAATGCAGAGTCTTCTGTTGGAACTCAGTAATAATGCCAGGATGTTTGGGATGCGTTTCTCCCCATCCAAATGTAAATTGTTACTCCAGGACTGGCCTACGTCAACACCTGAACTAACGATAGGAAGTGAAGTAGTCAAACGCATCGACATCTTCTGACCAGCCCTAGTGGGTTGGTTTCTGACGAAATCTCAGCACGGATTCAAAAAGCTCGTTTGGCTTTTGCCAACTTATGGCGAAGACGAGATATCCGTCTATCAATTAAGGGACGAGTATACTGCGCATCAGTTCGCTCTGTTCTACTTTACGGCTGTGAAACATGGCCATTTAGAGTAGAAGATACTCGTAGGTTACTAGTATTTGACCACAGATGCCTTAAACATATTGCTCGCATCTGCTGGGATAACCTGGTAAGTAATAGTGAGGTTAGACACAGGGTATTAGGGAACGATGGTAAATCAGTTGATGAGGTGATGAATCTTCATCGACTGAGATGGTTGGGCCACGTGTTACGTATGCCTGAACACCGATTACCACGACGCTCTATGATGACTAGTATTGGGGATGGTTGGAAGAGAGTTAGGGGCGGCCAAACCAAAACATGGCATCAGTGCTTGAAGTCACTAACTTCTAGCCTGAGCCATGTTGGTAGATGCAGACTACTTAGTTGGGGTCCGCGTGACTATCGTAACCAATGGTTGGAGACTCTAGGTGACATGGCTGAGAATCGATCACAATGGCGTAGGTGTATACACTCTTTATCTTCCCTTAAACCTTGAGATTAAAATTGCTTCATAACTTTCTTCCTTCCTATACTATATCCTTATATACAACCTATAATTTATATACTACCACCACCACTAAATTAACTTATATGAATCCGGTGTTGATCTTGTTGTGCTAACGAGGTATGACAACTTGGACCGATGCATATATGTGCCTGGTCCTACGTTGTAGCTGACTGACTGACTGACATACCCGTAACTGCACACGAGACCAAGTTGGTCACATTCAAATCCTTCCTACACCTCATAATAATTCTTATCTCCACGACTAACCCTTCTCACGTCCTTTTGTCACGTCGCACCGCTAGGGCAAACGATTCGAGTACGCGGAACGTTATTCCTGGTCTCCTGAAACCATGCCCTAAACTACATGCAGGAACTTTTAACGTTCGAAAATTGTGCCAAATAGGACAACAGGCCTCCTTATGTAGGACTTTAGAATCTCGCACCATCGATGTATGCTGCGTCTCCGAAACGCGCATACAGGATCAAGTCGCGTCATTCATTTGACCTCACCATATCAAAATAAAGAACCATCTCGGTTCACGCCTCGTGTATCTGAAAGCCCTGATGCTGCTTCCCGTGGCCTCGCTGGAGTAGGTATAGCATTGAATCCTAGGGCAGAATTATCTCTTTTAGACTGGATAGCAGTAGACAGTCGTCTATGCTCTGTCCGACTAAACGGATTAGTAAGGACTCGGAAAGATAGGGAAACTCGTCGATACCTCTTCGTCATCTCTCCTACTCTCCCACTGACTGCGGCTCAGATGATATAAAAGATGAGTTCTACAGAAAACTTTCTGACGTTCTCCGAAAAGTTAGGCGCTCTGATGTAGTAATAGTGGCAGGTGACTTTAATGCTCAAGTAGGTAAACTAAGCGAAAGGGAAAAACACCTGAGTGGATCATTTGGTATCATGGCTAAAAGAACAGATAATGGTGATCGTCTGTTGCAGCTATGCTCAGATAACCGCCTATTTCTTGCAAATACTAACTTTAAGCACAAGGAAAAACATCTTTTGACATGGCGATCCCTGAGTTCGTCCCAACGTTTGAGCCAGCTAGATCACACCGCTATCAGCCACCGATGGAGGGGCTAGGTAGAAGACTGTCGCTCATTCTGGAGCACATGTTTAAATTCAGATCATGCTCTAGTGCGAGCACGTATTTGTCTGCGTCTTACTGGACGCAGGAAAGACACAGCAGGGAAACCTCTTAGGGTTCTACTTAATGATAGGCAAGCTAAGAATATATTTCAGGAACAACTAGAAAAACAGTTAGGCAGCCATGTAAGTTGTGCCCACCCCGAGGCAGCGTGGAATGACAGCCGAAAAGCTGTAGAAACAGCAGTGATATCTGTTAGTACGGTAAACCATAAAGTTAGGAAGACACTGGATCTCAACAGCATTTACTACACTGATAGATGCTCGAAAACTCATCCCATCTGGCTCTGAACATGACGAAGAGCGAAGTCAGCTTAGGCGCTGGCGAACAAAAAGCCTACGCAATGATCGCGAACAGTGGTGGGTAGCGAAAGCAAGAGAGATGGAAAAGGCAGCGGCAATAGGCAACAGCAGACGACTGTTCAGACTTGTTAAAGAAACCGGTATTAGAAACCCGACTGTCAACGAAACTATCTTGGAAAAAGATGGCCAAATCATTCATTCTCAATCCAGTAGATTGGATCGACGGGCAGATCATTTTAGGGATCAGTTCAACTGGCCTTCAGCCACACTTCGGTTTCCCACGATCCCCAGTCAATGTAAGTCTACGAGGTTAAACAAGCTATTGGAAATATGAGGCGTGGGAGAGCAGCAGGCCCTGACAGGTTTACCCCGAGATTTTTAAGGATGACGGTCCTGTAATAGCAGCGAGATTGACTGAGGTCTTAGGTAGAATCTGAGAACTGGACGTAATCCCATGTGGCTGGTCTCAACAACTGATTGTGCTAGAAAGGACAAAAGTCCTCTTGTGACAACCATAGAGGAATCAGTTTGACTAATATAGTGTCTAAAATATCAACTTCAGTAATACTTCGACGCCTAACTAAAGCTCATAAAGAACAGACTAGAGAAAACCAGGCTGGTTTCCGACCTGGACGTGGTTGTATAGACCAGATATTCACACTACGTCAGGTCCTAGAACATACACTTTCAGACGTCCCACAATAGTAGTATTTCTCGACCTTAGGGCGACATTTGGCTCTGTTGATCGTAAGGTTCTATGGCAGTGTTTGTCACTGAAAGGAGTACCAAAAAAGTACATTAACCTCATATAGGTTCTCTACTCGAACACAACTGGTCGAATTAGAGCCTATGGCGAACGGTCATGGGAATTGATTACCTCAAGTGGTGTTCGTCAGGGCTGTCCACTCTCTCCATTCTTGTTTAACTTTGTCGCTGACGTGCTTTTAGTGATAACAATTTCCAGGAGTTGAACTTTTACCTGGAGATTCACTTGTTGACTTAGAATATGCCGATGATATAGTTCTATTTGGTGAACACTGACAAAATGCAGAGTCTTCTGACCACTGTAAGCAACTATGCGGTGTGCGATTTCCCCCCTCAAAATGCAAAATGTTACTTCAAGATTGGGTTGCATCAACACCTGAACTAATGATAGGGAGTGAAGTAGTTGAGCGTGTTGACCGCTTCACTTTTCTTGGGAGTCTCATCAGCCTTTGTGGTTTGATGTGTGACAAAATCTGAGCACGGATACAGAAGGCTTGTCTAGCTTTCACCAACTTGCGTTATTTATGGAGTAGGCGAGATATCCGTCTAGCAACCAAGGGACGGGTTTACTGTGCAGCAATTCGTTCCGTCCTACTTTATGGCAGTGAAACATGGCCGGTAAGGGTAGAGGATATTCGAAGGCTACTAGTATTCGATCATAGGGGTCTTCGAAGCATTGCTCGTATATCCTAGGACCACCGGGTAAGTAATTCAGTTGTTAGGAAACGGGTACTAGGTAAGGATGGCAAATCGATTGATGAAGTAGTGAAACTTCATCAGTTGAGATGGCTGGGACACGTGTTACGCATGCCCAACCACCGACTAACCAGACGTGCAATGTTTTATGGTGTAGGAGTAGGTTGGAAGACAGCTAGGGGCGGCCAGACCAAAACGTGGCACAAATCCATGAAGTCACTGACCATTTGACTGAGTCACGCTGGCAGGTGTAGACTACCTAGTTGGGATTCGCTAGATAATAGCAATCGATGGTTAGAGACTTTGAATGGCATGGCCCGAAATCGTTTGCATTGGCGAAGGTGCATCCACTCTTTGTGTTCTGCCGAAATCTAATCTGAATTCTTCATGTCTCTATCTTTTTTCTCTTTCCAAATTTATTTCACTGGATTATACTCCTTGAATAACATCTTCAAACCTTAATCTTTCACATAATGCTTATACTCTTACTACTTCTATCACTATGGGATTTGAATCGACAACTGCATCTCTGTGCTAATGTGGTATGGCAACTCGAACTGATGTACGTACGTACGAATTTTTACGTTGTGACTTACCAACTGTCTGAAGAAATCTCGGCACTGATTTATAAGGCTCAATTGGCTTTTATCTACTTGCGTCACTTGTGGCGTAGGCGAGATATCCGTCTGCAAACCAAACAGCGAGTTAACGAAGCAGCAGTTTGCTCCGTTCTAATTTACGGGTGTGAAACAAGGACATTAAGAATAGAGGATATCCATAGGTAACTAGTATTCGACCATAGGTGACTTCGAGGTATTGATGTTGTATTTTAGGACCATTGAGTAGGCAATTTTCTGGGTTGAGAATAGGGCACTGCATTAGTCTATGAAAGCATTGCGATGTTAATCAATATACAAAAATCATCTAACAACTTTGTTTTCATGCTGTATATATACGCTCGAGTTGTTTACTTGTTGTTCGTGCTTCTCGGTGTTGTGGAACATACATTACCCTCATCTGAACCGGGTCTTTTCCCTCCAGTTAGCAGGCCTGGGACGCATCGGAATAGTTTAGCTTATCTTGTCATTGTTTCGCTGACCCTTCGTTCCCTTCGCCGATTTTAGGCGATCTCTTAATCTCTTGAAACATGGCAGGGATTTGACCCAACAATTTCACCTCTGTGCTAATGGGTTATAACAACTTGAACCGATGCACGTACGTACGAGATTCTGCGTTGCGACTGACTGATGTGAAATGTGGTGACTTGTACTGATTGACACGTACCAAGTCGTAAGTTAATGATGACTGACTTACTTAGTCGAACGACTCAGTCAGGACTTCCAGCCGATATTCGTATGCTTGAACCCTACGTTACATCAATTTAAGGAAACTGATATCTTTCACTCACGTTAAGTGTGACTCAGAGCCGTGTTTATGAATTGGCACTTTGTCACTGAGTCGCATCTACAATAATATTTTGATTATACGCCAGTGAGAATGATGCGACTTAATCTAGATCAGTGTTCAGTTATTTGTTCATTTCAAGGTACACAGGACACTTAGTACTTGAATCAAATAAGAATAAAATTTATATTATGTTGGTATTTGGTATTTGTAAGGATGTGTTTGCGTCAGTGAGGGTGTTAATTGGTTTTTATCCAATAAAATTGTTTTTCATTATCATGGTACGGTAACCAAGACTGATAAACAGAACTCTTTCTTTACTTGCAGATTGTATTTTGAATATGTCTGAAAAGAAACGAAAGCAGCGGTTAGCTGGTGTTAGACTCGATGAAAACCCACTGAAGCCTACACTAGAAGAAATCAATGTTGCGAATTACTTACACAAAAAGCTACCATCTAAAGAAGGGCGTCTCTCGGGAATGATTGTTCGCATATTCGTAGCAATGGAAGCCATAGAGTTACTGATGAATTCCCATTGGGCTAGATCAAATGACGATGCGAAACCAACTCTTTTTACAAGTCAAACTACAGCAGTTAATTTCATGACAACTTTGTTTCAGAAGCAAATGTTTCAGCGGTATCTAAACACGTGAAGTTCTCATAGTCTTTATTTTAGTGCAGTTCGTGTCAAGAAAAAACCCACCAAACACCGAGAAGATGCGAAATCATTAAAACCTAAGCTGAAAAAACTTACTGATGGAAAGATTGTCTCCAGTAAAAATGTCGATGCGACTTCAGATGAAAATGTAGGTACCTGGATTTACTTAAAATTTCCATATGTAGTTCATAGCCGGTTACAGTGATGGGAATACATCCTTTTATTGTGTGTCTTTTTTCCATTTTAAAGGTCATGTTATTCTAAAACCCTTATTTCCAATCCTTGTTTTATCCACTAACTAGTGTTATCATCATTTTTCCGCTTGTCGATTTCTCTTGGTACATATATGAACTTTAGTGATGCGAACCGGCACATATTTCAGATGAGTCTTAGGCTTTATATCCAACTGTCTCTTATTGAAATAAGTCAGCACGGCATCATCACCACGTACACAAACTCTACATTTACTTTTATCAAATAAATTCTATATCAGCTATGCTGGTGTGTTGTAACCTTTTGTGGTCATATCTTATAAGTTGTTTGTAATTGCATATAGGAGTGCATTAACCAGGAATATAGTTCCTTATTTGTTCAAATACCTGTTGCTACTTATATCTTTGGAAAGTGAACAATACTGACTACGTTCTACTATAGCATTTGAGACAGAAGTACAATTGTTTAAATTGCCACACTTTCCACAAATTGTATCCGAAGGGAGAATCAATGAAAACAGATAGTTTGTACGGAAGATAAAATTATGTCAAGTGCAGTTATGCCTACTTATAGATAATCAAGAAATGCATCTACGCCATTTTTGCAAATTTCAAAATAATTCGTATTAAGTGTCTACTTCTTAACTTTGTTTACTTCATGAATCTCAAGTAAGTGGGTGAGACAAAGACAATAAAAGTACTGAAATGATATAAATTTATTGAGTTTAAGGTTGTTTATGTGTATGATAGTCGCTGACTGAAGATTTCCTGAACGGAAATAATTTATGTAAATTGCAACCACTTTATCTAGATTTATAAACTAAAATTCTACGGAAGAATACAACAACCTAGCTACCAAACTGTCCGTGAATTAATGTGGTGCTTTGATCTTGTCATCATGTTATTTCCATTTTACACTTGCCCTCAATTAACACAGCGAGTTAAGCCAAACAGTTACTAAGCGCACATTAATTTAAGGATGGCTCGTTGACAAACACAAGAAGCCCAGAAAGAACCGAAGACATTCCATCCAATTACCACTAAGGAAACATTCTAGAATGTCGACGTGTAGCTTCCCTATTGGACGAATAAGAATGACCCCTTATGTGCCTATTGGTTGTCCGAAATGATGATTTACTTTCAGCCAGAAAACTATAAATACATGAGATTTTTGTACTATATTTGACACTGTTTTGGGAATAAAATTCCTACTTACTAGTCTTCTCTCTTGCAACGTTGCGGGTTCGATCGTTCAAGTAGTCTAGTAGTACGCGGCATAGCAAGAATCAAAGCTCTAGATATAACAATTAACCTGTACAATACACTATTAAATGCAAGCACACAATCTCAGTTCATTTATCTAGTATTTTGTGCATTGAAAGTTTGCGTTTTCAGGATGTTTGATGACACAAAGTGATTAAATTACTATTCAAAATCTTACATGCTATTGTCAAATAAAGTATCCTTTTTGTTTCCCTTTTAATAATAGTTGAGTTCTCAAGATCCTGATTCTAAATCACCCAAATATGGCATTTTATCATCTATCTCCTCCAGTATTAACGAATTCACAATGAAATCTCCCAATAAGAAACCCATGCGACTAGAAATCGTCGACGAACAAAAATTTGTACTGGATGATCCACACACATTTTATGTTTGGATCTACGAACCACCACCGGGACTATTTACATGGTTGGCTGGTGCAGCTTTGATTATTGGTATTATACTATGCTGTTTATTTCCTATCTGGCCATCAGAATTACGCCAATGTGCATATTATTTGACTATAACTGCTTCAGGACTTCTAGGTCTTTTACTTTTCGTAGGATTATTGCGTTTCTGTTTTTATTTGCTTGTCTGGTTATCTACTTTAGGCCAATACAGTTTTTGGATATTTCCTAATTATTTTGAAGATTGTGGTTTCTTTGAGTCATTTCGTCCGTTGTATTCACTTAAACATGCATCTGATGTTCTAGTACCATCTAGCAAGAGAAGCAAATCGAAAGTAAAGTCAACTAGTGATGTTTCCACTATTGATTTCGCCACGAATAGTAGCAATACTAGTACTGCTACTGGTAGTGATGCTAATATTGTCCAATTATTATGTACAAAAACCACAACAAAACCACCTGAAGAGGTCAAAGTGAAAAATGTATTAAAGAGAGATATAATAATCAATGAATAATTATATTCCTATTTACCCCATTCTTTATTTCCTTATTTTTCCTTTCAATGTTATGGTAACTGTATTGCTTATTGCAACATTATTCATCTTTATTTATTACCCATATATTTACTTCATATTTCAGCTGAATAGATGTTTTTTGTAACAAAGTTTTCAGAATTACATGCGTGTGCTGAAAATGAGTATTCTGTCCCTTTTATGCGAATTGTTTAATATTATAGTTTAACATCGAATAAATGATGGTTAAATGATAAAAAATTTCACTTTTTTGAGTCAGTTTATCAATTAGTTTCATAAAATTCATTTTTTCCCACCGTCGAATTTGATTTAAGCATGAAAAAATAACAGGCATTCATTTATTAATGATTTTCTTTGTCTGCTTACACCATGGAAATAATAGTTACAACTATTTAAAACCAATGCACCTACTTCATATCATACCAACGAACATCCATACAATAATGACACTATGTATGGAAGAAATATATAATGTTAAAGTTCATTTTGTTTATTTATTTAAACACATACATATTGGTACAAGGAGGCACCAGATACATATGCGCCACACAAAATAATGAGGATAGGAGGAGAAAGGGGGAAGATGCGTATATATAAAGGAAGAAAAAAAGATGAAAATAATAGAAAAGTAATGATGGGCGAACTGAAATGTACAACCAGAAGAACTCTCTCAGTTAAGAAAGTTAGAACCACTCTTTGTGAAGAAAGTAAAAGAAGGTTACATCACGATCGCCACTGGCTTCTATTCTGATAACATCTCCAGCCACTGTGTTGCACCATCTCTCATACCACAGCCAGGGAGTCGTGAAGGACCAACAGAAGCTAGCCCTTTGCAGCTTTCTTTCACGCCACGACACCATGTCATATACTGACCTCCTCTCCGCTTTTTCCAAACAGTCCCAGCGTCGGCAAATAATGGACGACGTGGAATTCTCTGTGACGACATTCGCAGAACATGTCCAAGCCACCGAAGTCGATGTTTCAAGATGGTGACACCAATTGAATTATCGTCTCTGCGCCCGAACACACGATGCCGAACCTCTGGATTACTAACATGGTGTTGCCACTGGATGTCAGCAGTCCTTTGGAGACAACGATGGTCGAACACAGAGAGTCTTTTAAGATCCTCAACTCGAAGAGGCCAGGTTTCACAAGCATAGAGCAAAACTGCTCTCACCGACGCGTTGTAGATCCGACCTTTTACAGCCAGACTAACATCACGAAGGCGCCAAAGATGGCCCAGATTGACATAAGCCGCTCTGGCTTTCATTATACGTTCATCAATCTCATCACTCACGCCACCACCAGCACTTATATAGCTACCTAGATACACGAACTTCTCAACTAATTCAATCTGCTCATCATCTAGGGTGAGTACAGGATGAGAATCCTGCCAGTGTTGTAGGAGTACCTTGCACTTGGAGGGTGCAAAGCACATGCCGTACCTGCGGACACTGATTGCCAACTGATTAAGTGCAGGTTGCGTGCCATGGGCATTATCGCACAGTAAGACAATATCATCCGCATACTCAAGGTCGAGAAGTCGTTCTCCAGGCAGCAGATCCACACCGCCATTACTTACATCCATCAGAGCTGTTTCTAGGATGTCGTCGTTGACAAAGTTGAAGAGGAATGGTGAGATTGGGCAACCCTGCCTAACCCCACTGCTTGAATGGAACAAGGGAGAAAGGTGGTTGTATGCCCTCACTCTGCCTTAGGTGTTTGTATACGGGGCCTTTAAGATGTTAATGAACTTCTCAGACACAACCTTCTTCAATAGACAATTCCAGAGAACAGTCCTGTCCAACGAATCGAAGGCCGCCCTGACATCAAGAAACACTACGATTGTTGGCCTGCGATAAGTATGGTGGTGCTCTAACATTTGGCGGAGGGTGAAGATATGATCAATGCATCCTCGACCAGAACGAAAACCAGCCTGCTCCTCGCGAGTCAATCGTTCTCGGGTTTTAAACAACCTACGAAGAATGACAAGCCAATAGTTTGGACGAAATCGGAAGTAGACTTATCCCCCGATAGTTGTTACAGGAACAACGTGAACCCTTTTTAAAGATAGGGACGACTATCGACTCATTCCATGATGTTGGAACACTTTCTAGCTCCCAGACCTTTGTAAACAACACAATCAATTCCTTAGCCAGAAAGTCACCACCATCTTTAAAAAGAGCCGGAGGCAAGTCATCTGGGCCTGATGATTTGTAGCGTTTCAGGAGTTGGAGTTCCTTGCGGACTTCCGCCTCGTTTGGTGGATCAGTCGTCACCGGCCATAGGGGGCAGGACAATCTGGTCGATGTTGCCGGAGCAGCAGACCAGTTAAACTGCCCTTCAAAAAATTCCGCTCATCGTCCAAGACGTCGACAGATGTCAGTGATTGGCATCCCGTCATCCTCACAGATTGTTTCACTCACACCAGACTTCTTGCTTCCAGTGGCTCGGATGAGTTGGAAGAGCTTCTGGCAGTTACCAGATGCAGCTGCTGCTTTCATCTCATTAGCGCGCTCCGACCACCAGGCTTCTCGATCCTTACTCAAGCTTTGCCCAATTTCATTACGTAACAGCCTTCGTTTGTGGTCATACTCACGGTCACCCGGAGTAGACCGATGGACTTTGACCAGTTGTAAGGAGCCAGAAGAAACCCAGTGCTTGTAAGCGGGACGTTTCGCGAAGCCGCAAGCGACTTTACTCGCCATTTTCATGGCGTCATGAAGTTGCAACCAATGCTCATCTATACTTTTCGGTGGGATGGTAATGTTGGAAAATTGTTGGAGAATTTCAACTTACAGTTAACTTTTTTTTAAAATCAGAAGCTAATCTTCGAATCTTCAAAAAGGGGGAGGTGTTATGTAGTAGCGAAGACTTAAGTACGGGTAACTTGCAGGACCTACTATTGGACTATCATTCTTATCGTATAGCTATTCGGTAACTAGATTATCTATATCTATATTCATATTATTGTAGGCTTTATTTTGACCTATTGATTATTATTGTATGATTTACTGTTCCTAAGTTATACTCAGTTTATTGATTATTGTCTCCGACGCTTACAGCCTCATTTGGCTTGGTTTTGTACAAGTATTATTTTCTATTTTATGGTATGATGTGGCCTGTCTGTCTGATATATAAACAAAGTATGCTTGAAATAAACGGTTCATATTGCCGAGGGTGCTATTGGTGTTTTGGACTCATGTGCACGGGTTAGGCGGATGAGGACTAATAAGGACGCTAGACTACTCATATTAGTCGAACGTCATTGTCACAGTGTGAAGGTCGTAGTAGGAGTATTCTATTGGTGGATAATTTACACGAATTACGTCCTTGTTAAATTCGTAAGGTCATAACAAATCAGCGACGACCTTGATCAAGTCATAACAATTGGCTACCGCCTAGGTCAAAAACATAACAAATTGGCGACGTCTAGGTCAAGTCATAACACTATCCTAGAAGCTAGCTCGTCTCGATACTTACTTGCAACAGAAGTTGCGGCCAGTTTACTAACATCAATCCGTTGATGGCGATCAATTCTTCGGCCACTGAAAAGTAAAGTAAGATTGGCGCAGACCAGGGCATGATCAGAGTACAGATAGGTACTCCAAAAAGTGCGGCAGTCTTGTACACAATCACGCCTGCTTGAACGGCGTATGTGGTTTCAGAAAGACTGGTTCAGTATTCGTAATCGGTGGAAGCATTCACTTTCGACCAGACAGTGACTAGAGATCGTTTAGGTAGAACAGAGTTTCCACCATGGGCGGGCTGCTGCATAAGTTGAAAAGTAAGGGTACACAAATCGGGAATAAAAGGGAGTGAAACAACGACGTGGTAAACAACAGTAGTAATAATACTAATGCAAATTGTCTTGCTTCTAGTAGGAGACAGAATAATATTTTCAGTAGAATTCGTCATTTCACTTATTTGTGTGTGGGCTGTGATATTGCCCAGGTGCCCAAACCGAAGCACGTGGTTTTCTTAGGGGGCCACACCTCGAGCCTTCGACCTAAAGGACTAACCCACAAGGCAGTGGAGCATCGTGAGGAGATGCAGTCCCATGGTAGCCGGTGACAAGCGATTGGTTCATACGCCATTTGCTCCTTCAGGATACTGGAGCCTGTGTGCACCATTGGTTTGGAATGAGGGTTTTCCAACTTCCCTAGGTGGACTTTCCGTGTCCAGCAACCCGGTTAAAGCGCCGGACATTCGCTTTTCGTGCTCTCAATTTCGTAAACAACAGTAATGCCACGAGAAGGCAGTGAATAGGACTTCCCTGGCAGAGGCTATATACGAGTGGTCACATGAGAGCATTTCGAGAGGGAGAGCGGACTCTCGGCCGTACCAGGGCATTTGGGGGCTTAAAGTTCATGGACATTGACATCTGAAAATTGAAAGAGAAAGTATTTTAAAACACGGTAACAAGTTTTTACAAAGTGCCATTTGATATCAGGATTTACTTAATAATAAATGTAAACTTGGATACATTAACGGATTAAGAATGAATTAACCCCAAATATGACAATAAGGAAAATAAATTTATACATAAGCGCATAAAATATCACGTTGAATAATGGAAAATAAAACTTACCAGGATAATGCGAGATTTACTACTAAATCCTTTCGAATATATCTCTTATTTCCTAAGAGTTTCCACTTTTTTGAAAGCCCCAGAATGCCCTGGTACGGCCGAGGGTAGAGTCCGCTCTTTTTGTCTAAATACTCCCACATGGCCACGCGTATACAGCCACTTCCAAGAAAGTCCTACTGATTGCCTTCTCGCGACGGGGGTGTTCGTTACGAAATTGAAAGGACGAAAAGCGAATGTACAGTGGCTTAACCGGATTGGTGGATATGACCTTCAGGTCCAAGTCTCCAGGTGTGGCCCCTTAAGAAAACCCCCTGCTTCGTTTTGAGCATCTGAACAGCGTTACAGCCCTCACGCATCAGTGATAACCGCTGCTGGCCCCATGGTTATTGTG